TGACAAACTTACAGACTAAAATGACAAGAATATTCTAAAAGCGAAGGTAAATTTATTAACGTTCTTCACGTGCTCTTAAGGCTTATAAGATTTAAATTCTAGGTGATCCTTTGCTGGAGAAGACAGTGATGCTGCTCAGTATAATCTGGGTGAAACCCAAGAGATAAAAGAGGAAAATGTACTCACTCATTCACAGGGAATTGGTACCTTACAAGGACATCGTCAGTAGTACATTTATAAGAAAAATGGCTGTTCTCTGGTGTGGCTTCAGAATTAGTTCCATTTACTCTTTAAGTTCTGCATTACAGAGGCAAATATGATCAACTTCTTTAGTGTGGCTGGTGGTGTCTGGCTACTAAATCTTCGCCAAAGCAAAAGCAGTGATAGTAATTTGTTTTTGTTTCTTTTCTCGGTATAATTAAAAACCTACAATATATATAGTTTTGCTTTATTTGATCTAGATGGAAATGTTATAAACATATTACTCAAATCAAAATTAGATGTGAATATCTATTAAATATAATGTATTATTGTTATTACCTTAGATCTTATAAGGTTTCACACTAACGGCCAACTTCTCACTGCGAATCGCCTGTGTCTTTATTTTGCGAGATTCTTTTTATACTTACAAAAACTTATCGCTATATGCTGGGAAATATTGTTAGCATTCGAATTGCACATTGAAATTTTATTATGATAATGATGAAACTAAATCTAGAGAAATATCAATAGCTCACACAAAAAATATAACATATTTAGCCTCTTATGCACCTTATTTATGAGTACATTATAAATAATACAGGGCGAACCACTTGATAATGTCACAACACATACAACTGTTTTTTAGAAGATTTGATTCATGAATAATATACGGGCTAATATACTGTGAACCATATCAAAATACGGTAGCGAATCTTAACGAGTTTTACTAGGATCATCTATATACTAAAAATGAGCTAAATATTGTTTTTGTTAGTAAGGTAATAGTAGTAGTAAATTGGAGCAGCCTCAGCCTGGCAATTAGGCTACAAGTGGGCCTTTTTGCCTACCCCGCCGTCCCATCACCCATTGTCTGCCTCTGACCATTCTCGAACCTACCTGATGCCAGTATTTTGATTCATGATAGGTCCCTCACCTCATCCCCTTGCAACTCTTCGGTACCAAAGACCTCAGGTCTTAACCTCCCGACTGCACAGTGTCCTAGAAGATGGATAAGGGTATCTTCCCCTTCTCCACATTTCGAGCCGTCCTCAATTCCTACTAAGTTTAAATGCCTCCTTAGTCTGCAATGGCCTGTCAGGACCCCCACCATTTAGTTTAAGGTTCTTCGAATAGAACTTAGCAGCCGTCTTAGATCATCCTCCAATTTTGACCTATTGTTTGATAGGCAAAAGGGCCTTGTTAATGCACCTCGTATTATTCCGAGGATTGGTTCAGAGCCCTTGGACCCAAGATAAGCCAGTTGGTTTCTTCTCTCGTTGCCAGGATACCCATGTTGTCCGGAACCCAAACTAATTCTACCGCTCTTCCTCTGGCCAGTAACTCCAGAGCATCTTCGCACTCCTGAACAAGCACGAGTCTTGTCCTCGGGGAGCTAGCCTCTCTGAGCGCGATCTGACTATCGGAGCAGATAATAATTCTCTCCTCTACACAGTGGCTTACCTCCTCCTTAGTTGACACCATCAAAATAGCGAAAAGCTCTGCCTGATGGATTGGTGAAAAACTTTCCTGGATACCACCGTCTTCCAGGCAAAACTAAGCCCACATTTTTCAATGGTTTCGGTTTCTTGCGTAGATATAATTATTTCACTAATTTTTAACTAATTTATGATAAAATTTCTTTCTTTGCTTTGAAAAATATTCTGTAGTAACATTATAAGTTCAGTAGACTGTTTTTGAAATACAAATTAGTTTTTATATAGAAGTAGAACAAGTACCTTCACTTTTTTTGAGCTTTCCGATTCAGTTTAGATATTACAATATACAGGGTGTTTCAATTAAAACTTAAAACAAAATTATGTTATTATTATTATTATTATTCAAATTGGTTTCCCTCCGCTTCTTTCATACAATAATAAAATCTGAATTTGAAATATCTTTTAGTACGATATTCTAATATCTACTACAATAATTTAGACTTTACTCGATTAATTATTCCTCCTTATGTTGTTTTTCAACTCAAATCTAGAAGTTAACTGTTGATAATAAACTCTGTAAATTTTGTTGCTGTTTGCAGACTTTCTATATTTGATGTGTACCCTCGCCATAACAGCTTAACGGGAAGTAAATTAGTTTCCATTTCACAGGTTTTATAACGTATATCAGATACTTCCTTATTTCCGTTCTTTTGCGAAAAGGTTTGGTTATAGTTTAAGCATTACCGCTGAACAAACAGGAATTAGCGAAAAAATTCTAAAAATACGAATTGCAAAGTTCTATGAAAATGTATACAAGTAAAAATATAGATATCTCAAGGACATTTAAATAAAGGGGACTATGCATGTCACAGTCTATCTCATATGTTGGGTGAAGCTAGACAAGGGGAAAGCAGAGGGCTTTATTTTCATCCAACTGATGTGCGCGATTACATCTCCATTGCCGTACATTTTGGATGGGTCAAAATAAAATATTTTATAGTCCTAAGTCAATATATTTCAACAGTTACTCAGTATTTTTATAATAAATATATATAAAATTTTTATAACTTCTTGGAATCCCAATAACTGTAACCATTTCTTTCTTGTTGCACCATCCCCAAGCATCCTAAAAACGTTCACATTTCACTTTTAGAATACTGAGGCAAATTTTCAGTGAGACAAAAATATATTCCCAAAGGAAAACATCAAATGGTTGAATGAATGCAACTTTCAGTTGATTGCATCTTCGGTATTTTTATGTATAAGTGAACCACCACCATATTTTTGCTGTTGTATTTATTCAGTTTTTATGCTCGTGCATTTAGTAAAATTGTAAATATATTTTTGAAAAGGTTTTTGTCGTAGAGGAAAATGAAAATGATGAATGATTAAAATTTGTAATGTTGGGTATAAGGGATAACATTGAAATACCTATAAATATATTAAATATAAATAATGTCTGTAACTTATTATTTGTGGTGCAGCATTTTCCTTTGATTTTAATGGCCAAACGTGGTTCATATTATTGTTTTCTTACTATTTCAGCAAAAATTTTAAAAAAATACCAAGTCAGATTTATAAAATTTTACCGTTATTCAAATAAAAGTTACCCACACGCACGACAATGGCCACAGTTGCATATACATTCCAAAGTCACCTTCAAGCATGCTTACCTGTGGAAGGATAGCTGATGTGGATGTTTATAATCCAATTTCTTACAAATTCTGCACTGTCTAACCATATTCACACCTTAAAAGTTTATCCAAAATACATGTATAAACACTAATCACGTTTCACTTACTAAAATCACAACTATTTTCTAACAAGAGACGCCATATTCTGCCAACCACGGCAGAACGAACGAGGAACACGCTACAAATTATTGAGTAGTTGCCAAGTCTTCAAACATGGCAAATATGAAAAATGAAAAATAGTTTAATATGTACAGAATTTAACAATATTGTATGCATAACTTAATAATACTGCCCTATAATAATAATTTTCACAATTGTGATGAAAATTGCGATAAAAATATTAAGTACATTTCCAGTATAATTATACAGCTGATACAATGATACAATTAGACTGTGAATAGACCAGGCTTCATCTAGAAATGTAAATAAATAAGTCCCCTTTATTTAAATGTCCTTGAGATATCTCTTTTTATAAAATACTGAGAATGCGGTCACTCTCCAAATATTTATTAAACATAAATGTATCAAATATTTCCAGATTATTTGACCAAATATAAATTTTGGGACAACTATAGAATTATTGTATCATCATAAATTTGTTGTGAAACATGAGCACGTGACAAATATCTCTCCAAATACAAATATAAATAGGCTTGGTGAATATTTGGCAAGTGAAGACATGCTTTCGAATGTATTCAGGACCTATGGTGAGGCCTGGGCCTATAAACTCAACGCAGACCCTCTTTCAAAATAAAAAAGAAAACCGTCACGCGATATAAAATTTCGATTATAAAAAAAAGCTAAAGTTCATTTTGCCAGATCTTGCCGGAGCTCCATCCCCCGTAGCCCCCCTCGCCCCCCTTAAAACGGCCCTGAATGTAACAATATGCTGAATATATATTACAGCAGTATAATAAAATATATCGCGGTCTATTTCTGAGAAATTGAGAATTGCAAGTTATGTTTGTGTGTGTGTATTAAAGGTCGAAAATGTATAAAAAAAATTTATTACTACGAGTAGAAGCTTATTTGTTTCAAAATGCCAAGGTTATGACTTTATTAGAGACGAATTTTTAATTGACATACGTTAAATAATTGTTGTTTAAAATCAAAACTTCTGCTATGGGTGATCCTTGTATTTTTTTAATTTTCAATAGAATCACAAAATAAAATCACACGCTGTCTGTATTCAGTTGTTTCAGTTAAAAGACTGACTCATTTAATTTTTTAATACCTCATTTTAGCCTGGATATCAAAATTATCAGGGACAGCTCCTCCCCGTAATGGTATTCATTCACTGGGGTGGTTTCTTTGCTGGAAGAGGAACCAGCGATTATCTAGGGCCTGAATATTTATTGGAAAAAGATGTGGTATTAGTAACGTTCAATTATCGCTTAGGAGTTTTAGGTAAAAAGGCTATATAAAATTATTTATGGCGTTTGTTAAGATGGAACTCCAATAAAACCATCGGACTCCATCGGCGACAATGTCACGGAATATTTACTCATTTTACTTCATCAGAATGTTTGTTTTTCATGTTCAACGAATCAGTAGAGCAACGTGTTAGCGTAATGGAGATGAGTGTAAAATATTTATGCCAATGTTATTTACGTCTGGGTCATTCCTTGTCAAGTGACCTAGGGTTCCCCACTCAATTATCTCCAATTTTACTAAAAATTAGTATGGATGTGTATACATATCTGGAAGGAAGTAAAGTTTTAGCTCCAGATATCAAATATTTGAGGCAGCAAATCCATTTGACTGGAGCTTCTACTGATTTCGCTGCGTCAGCCGCGACAATTCTGAAAAGTTCACATGCTCATCCAGATTAGGTACGGTGTTAAAATTCCATATATTAGATCAACTTTTTCAAGTAAGCAAGATGAAATTTGTATGAATGTTTAAAAAACAAGATATTATTCACAATTTAATTTCAAAGTGGCTTAAAAATCACGTTGCATTGTATTTGTGCCATACTTTAGCAACACATAACTATAGAACAGCATGCATTAGTAACAATCTAATTCAATGCCATTTTTCTTGCCTTAATCGTCGAGGTACCAAAGCAAAACAAGAGAAAAATGTGTTCTTTAAAATGTTATAAAAATGAACAAAATTAAAGAATACCCATTTTGAGATATTTGATTTGACAAAAATGGGTCATATTTGGCTTTTACAATAAGTTTGTGGTCAAATATCTTTTAAAATATGGTAACCATTACTGTCATATCACTGCAGTGCATTGTCATGCATTAGTCTAGTGGTCAAATAGATTGTTATCAATTGATTTTGTTCTATTATAGTTATGTGTGTTGTCAAAATATGTCAAAACACAGTGCGGCGTGATTTTGGACATTATATGTTGTTCTTTGCAGATACATACTATTTTTTTCTTTCTCCCCCGAAAGAATTGATCTACCTAATATGTCGAATCTTAGCGCCATATCTAATCTGGATGAGCTATGAAAGCTTGTGAGACTTTCCAGAATCGTCGTGGCTGATGCGGCGCAACCAGTACGACTTCCAATTAGAAGTACATACTGCCCCAAATTTTGAATATCTGGGGCTAAAAGTATACAGAACTTCCTTCCAGATATGTATACGCATCCACACCAATTATCAGCAAACTGGAATGATTCCTTTAACGTATTGTCTTGAAACATTGTTAGCAACTTTGGTTGTCGACATAAAAGGTCGGAGATATTTTATATCTATCTGAATGTTACTCATGCAAGTTGACCGACTTGACTCGTGCAAGTTAAATAGTCAAGTATGCTTAGTCAGTTTCCTCGACACACATACAAATTTTTGTCGTCGATTTATAAATTTTTAATTAGCGGTATAAAAATATTGGGACAGATCGAACACGGTGAAAAGAACTTACTGAAAGTGGATGTTATGATAACCAAAGACTAAAGAGGTAGACATAGGGGATGTACTAAAACCAGCGAAGGAAGAGATTAAGAGATGAAACAGTATATCACAGCCCCAGACGTTTATAATTTGTCGAAATTTTGTCGAGCAAGCAAGTTGATCAGTGAGTACAAAATGGAATAATAGGAGTACAAAATTACTGTTCACAAGCCAAATCCTATAATAAGATGTCCGATTAGAATTTAATTGCGACATCAGTTATTTGTGAAACAACATTAAAAAACCAAAGTTTTTGGAACTTCTCACTTTATATTATTCTTTTATTTGCATTTGGTTCAGTTTTGCTATTAGTTTTCGTACGCAATTGCGTACTTTTCCTTTTTATTACTACTCGTATAATATTTCAATAATTTGACAAAGAAATAGGCTTCTCTATAAATTTTGATAAATTCTAAACAACTCTCTAAATAAACACCACATTTATAAAACACTGTTTTGTTGTTTAACACAAGACACCTGTGCTTCAAGCTCTGATCTCTGGTTCCACGTCTGGTCGTCTAAGCTATTCATTGAGATTAGAATAAGGGGTTATTATTGTTGTTATTACTATTACTACTGTTATTATCGAGTCGGCCGACTTGCATAAGTGTGTATCTTACACGTACAACAAATGTCGAAAACGCTGTCGCCGACAAATGTCGTTTGGTGGAGTTCCGCTTTTGTACAGACCTTTCATAAATGCTTACAAGCCACGTGACCGTCGAGCATGGGCTACCAACAATTCAGGGTTGGTAAGATCAAATGAAAATCCCTAAGCCTCAGTGGAGTGGTTGAAGGGGTTACATGTAATTAAATAAAGTTGTTTTTATAATTGATTGACATAAAATATCGATATTAAACTTAATGCATATAATTTAGTATCAGATACTTTCGAAACGTACTTTTGTTTTTTCGTTGAAATGCTTTTACCTTTATTAAAAGGAGCAAAATATCAAACTTCACTTGTTAATGAACAAATTGTAAATTTTTACTATGAAACAAAAAGAACTAGATGTGAACCTATAACATTTTTATTTAAGTACAGAGTAAAACAAATAATGGACAGTTTACTTTTTATTAAAGATAAAATAGCAGTACGAAAAAGTTACATTGCAATATAAAATAAATTCAAATTCATAAATTAGTAAGCTACATTGCCATATTTGCGATAAAAACATTAGAAATTATGTCCAAAATGATGTCCTTCCTATGTCCTATGTCCTATGTCCTATGTCCTATGTCCTATGTACAAATTTACTCTCCTGTCCATATTTTCATAACGTTTTGCTGTTGCTGTTATGTTACATTGTTAATTTCTCGAATAATTTCTGCTTCTAATTCTTCATTGTTGTGCTGCATTGCTGTTTTAAAAATAGTATTTTTCAGATATTCAAAGAAAAAATAATTTAACCTCGCTGGCCACAACCCTTGACTAATCAATCGATTACCATAAAATTCTTCCAAAAATTTAATTGTTGCTCAAAAGCAAACAGTATGTGCGGTCGCCCCATCTTGTTGAAAGTAAATTACTTGTAACTCATCATCATGTAACTGCTAATAATTGCTCTAAAATAAGATTTCATCATTTATAGTTTCATAGAAAAATATAGGCTCTATTATACGTCTTCTTGAAATCGATATGCGACACTTAGAGAGATAGAGCTACTTTGTGCAACACGAATGGAGATACATCCAAGTTAAAGGGACTGAACGCATGCGTATTTCCAAACTGTGTGACAACGTAAGATGATATTTTCAGATTTACTATTATTTCTTCGGCAATAAACAGAATAAATATGAAATACAAAACTTTAAGGATATATAAATTTTGTAGAGTAAAATAGAATGTTTGATTATTTTGCCCATAAAATGATGCTACTCGTATGAACGGTTTTTATCTGCGAATTAGATACATTACCGATGAAGCCTGAATACTTCCGAACATATTTTATCTCCGCGTGATTTTTGTTACGTATAATTGTATAAGTCATATAATAGCCATTTTGTAAACATTGTTGCCGTTAGCTGTATTGGAGTGTTTAAAAAAGTTGTTTACAGTGGATTTATTGTTATTTATTTTTAAAACTTTGGCGTTTTCATTAACAATTANAACTCATCATCATGTAACTGCTAAAAATTGCTCTAAAATAAGATTTCATCATTTATAGTTTCATAAAAAAATATAGGCTCTATTATACGTCTTCTTGAAATCGATATGCGACACTTAGAGAGATAGAGCTACTTTGTGCAACACGAATGGAGATACATTCAAGTTAAAGGGACTGAACGCATGCGTATTTCCAAACAGAACAGCTGTGTGACAACGTAAGATGATATTTTCAGATTTACTATTATGTATTTCTTCGGCAATAAACAGAATAAATATGAAATACAAAACTTTAAAGATATATAAATTTTGTAGAGTAAAATAGAATGTTTGATTATTTTGTCCATAAAATGATGTTACTCATATGAACGGTTTTTATCTGCGAATTAGATACATTACCGATGAAGCCTGAATACTTCCGAACATATTTTATCTCCGCGTGATTTTTTTTAAGTATAATTGTATAAGTCATATAATAGCCATTTGGTAAACATTGTTGCCGTTAGCTGTATTGGAGTGTTTAAAAAAGTTGTTTACAGTGGATTTATTGTTATTTATTTTTAAAACTTTGGTATTTTCATTAACAATTATTTGCAGTTACAAAGAATGTCTAAATCAGTATCGGAAATGCAAGAAAGAAAATAAAAACATACATTTTTTTCGCTTTCCTAAAGAAGAGCAATTAATTGTATAATTATTACTTTTTATATAGGTAATCTTAAATTTCTTATAAAAACTGTTTTAATATTACATTTTTATAATATAAATTGTTCTTTTACATGTCGATAGAAAAATGTGGACGCCCAGAATTAATATTGCATGGATAAAATGATTTCAAATTTACATAACTAGTGTAACATCTTTTGGAAGTTTACTATTCCTAAAATGACATATTTTCTATATTCATTACTCAGTTAACTAACAAATTTGATTGATAATTGTATTTGTAACTACCCAGGAAACACCATTTATAATTTTTGTAAAGATGTACCTCCAGTTCAACATCCCTGTCCAAATTTTCCTTTGGACTATTTAATAAAGTAACTTGTAATTCTGCGAATTTACTACCACATAAAATCTATTAATAAAAATTTTAGTAGAACTCCTAATATAAAAAATGTAAAATTAAATATGTGTAATTTGTTATTAGGTATTTTATTTCAACATAAAATTAATAAACACTTACCAATTTTATTTTAATACATTAGTTGTCTAATTTTCATCCCGTTTAGACAGGCACTTTATTAATTAATTGAAGATTGTGATAAATGTAGGTGTAAGCATTTTACGTTCATGCTCATTCAATATTTCGAACTGCCACACACTTTCTTCAGATATCAATTTTTATTGCCCAATCTGGCAACGTTTAGCATCCAGTTTAAATGGACAAGGTCAACGGCGGCATCTGTACATTATCAAAGGAGTGTCGCATATGGGTTAGATATGTGCCCATACACCTACTTCTAAAGGATGTAAACTAGTTTCTACAAATGTATGAGCATTTTCTGCGGCCCAGATTCTGTAATTTTGTCTATTTACATAACCTGATATGTGAAACCTTGCTTCGTCAGTGAAGAACGACAAGTCCAACAAATTATTATTCATGTTTTCTATATATGTATATACCACTAACACTACTGTAATCGTCTTCCATAGTCTATGGGAAGTAATAATTCCTATACAACAGTTACTTTGCATGGGTGTAAATGCAGTTATTTTTTAAAACTTTATGACATGTTCCTACTGAAAGCCTAAAAATTAAAATTTTAGGATATAAACTTCAATCTAATCTCTAATTCAAGTTAAAATATTTTAGAGACAGAAATTAAATTTGAGAATATTTGCACGAACTAGCAAAAAAAATTACCTGTTTGAGCAGACACCTTTGAAACGGACTTTGATTTATTTGTTGCTTTATATTATCGATGATATTTTCTGTAAATACAGTTGGTCTGTGCGTAGATTTTCCTTTGCAAATGCAGTGTTTCGTTTCAAATCTTTTGACAATAGCATATTTCTGGTTTAAGGAAGTATCATATTCAATGTTTGCGTCTGGAAATTCCGTCAAAATGACATAAGTAGCTGTGAAAACAACTGATAGATTTGAAATTTGTACGATTTAATAGCGAAGCAAAAGAAACAATAAAACGGAGGCAGCAAATGGACACAAACGAAAACAGACACGGGCGACGGACGCCACTGAAAGATGGACAAATGTCAGTTTAGCGTTATCGGTCATAATGATTCGTTACAATAAACAGTAACAAACCATTGCGTCTACATTTGAGATAATCCGATCGCTGATTGCTTGAATGAAATGTCGTAAAAAAATACACCAATCATAAGGCGGTAGAACGAAATGTTGCGGTTTAACGTAGTCTTGATCTTATTGTTTTAGTAACTTTTAATTTTAGCAGAATTTAATTAATTGGCAACGCGTAGGGAATAAAATTACTATTTCAAACTACTGGTAACTACTTGTAAACGTTTATGAAGACTCTGTATTTGTCCTATTGGATAATTAATGATAAAAATGAGGCTAAACCCATGCATATGAAGAGAATACCGAAAAAACGTAATCAGAACTATTTAATTTTGTTTTAGATTGAAACTGAAACACGTTTTTTTCTGTTTTCATCTTCAATAGTACTTAGATTCATAATTTGCAAATATTATACAGGTTTTTTAACAACTCTTGACGATGAAGCTCCAGGAAATTACGCGTTTAAAGATCAGGTGGCGGCTTTAAGATGGGTCCAGGAAAACATTCACTTTTTCGGTGGAGACAAATCAAAGGTCACAATTTTTGGACAAAGCGCTGGAGGAGGAAGTACACATCTTCATATGATTAGTCCACTTTCTAAAGGTATTTATCTCAAAAAGTTTTATTATAATATTTTGCTTGAAACTGCAAAGATAATTTTATTTTTAATATTACTCGTATTTTGATGTTGGAAATATGATGTACTAATGTAATTTGTTTTCATGACTGCTATTACATTACTTAAAAAGAACCAATACTTCAATCTTTGAATGAATTGAAATAACACCATAGATATTATGTACATATATAATTTCGATTTAAAGACCTGGTTTAATTTTCTTAAATACATGGATTATCGTATTAAATGAAATTCCCTATCAAAAGTATATCATTTTTATTGATTTATGTGAGGATTGACGTAATTAATTAACACGTGGTCAATAGAGAGTTATCTCTTAGCAGTCAGAAGTTTATATCCACATTCTGTAATAGATAATTTCTATGACTTCATAGAAAAATAACTATTTTATTGAATCAGGCAATAAATTTTTACATCAAGATATTAAATATTATCTCTACCCCATAACAAAATTAAGTTGTAAAATTAAAATATTTGAACAAAATTAATTAATTAATTCCTATGAAAAAATGTCCGAAGTCTTCGAGATATACAATGTTGAAATTTGAAAATTATGTTTATGTTACATTTTTTTACTATATCGTATTTTACCATATAGGGTGTTTTCATAAAAGGTAGGAAAATGGTACGACTGAATCTACATCTAAAAAGAAAATAAAATAAAAATGTGTATCAATGGGCTGGTTTATTTAAAAATTTTTACCTCTCTCACTTTTTTGCTTTAAAACTATTAAATTCACCATCATTCGCATAAGTAGGCTGCTGTAATACTAATTTCTGACATTGTGACTTTTGCGAGTGCTTCCTTGTATTTGCTACTTAATAATTTTATTTTTTTACGATAACTTGGGAAGAATTATGACAAATAATTTTACTAATGATGTATATGTTGACATGCTGCAACAATTTTTTTTTAATGTCGAAAAAACTGTGCCGCAGAGGCATTCGAATCACCTACCCCACAGAGGAATTTTCTCAATAGTAGAAAGAATACTTCGACAATACAGACTGAACGCGAGGAAAATGGCACATGAATTAGTTGAAAATTTGAGTAAAATTTGACTATTATACCTTTTTTTGGTTTTTCAAATTACAGCCACTATTCCATATTTTTCTGGAAACTTTGGGAAGCTCTATCTCCTAATGGGTGAACATTTTACTAAGGTAATTTTTATGCAAAACGTGTTCTTTTTAGCTGTAGATTCACCAGTACCTGCCATTTGTGCTACTTCTTTTGAAAACACCCTGTATATTAAATACAGGGTGTCGTGTAAGAAAAAAGTATTGATTTCTATATTTATCTTTTATCTTTATCTTTAGATAGTTATTCTTCATTATTTTTTTTTTAATGAAGCATTTTTCACTTATTGGATATAGAAAGCAACATGGCTCTAGTAAAATCTAATATTTTCTGATAACAATGTACTAGTCTAAGAATAATTCTGAAATAAATAAAAATTTCGGATGTTCTTTGCTTGATGTTTTTTGTCTCTTTAGGTTTGTTCCGAGGAGTAATATCCCAGAGCGGTTCAGCTTTAGCACTTTGGGCAACCCCATCGAATGAAGCCCAGAAAACTGTTCTTGCTGCCCAAGCTAAATTTGTTAATTGCGACGGTTACATCGGTAATAGTTCTAAAATTATAGAATGCTTAAGAAAAGTTCCAGCTCAAGACCTTGTCGAAAGTCAGGATCTCTTTAAGGTAAATAAAATAATAATTTTATATTTGGTTATTAGTGATTATTTCTTTTGTAGCGCTGTTCTTCCTAACAATAAAAGCCAGAGTTGTATCTATTTCATACACTTTCTAAAATATTAAGGAGTATAAAGCGTATTCATATACAGCGTGTCCCACTAGTGCGGGAAAGTCCAATATCTATGTTAAAATGAGGAATTTTTCTTTTTACTGTGTTGCCACATTTCTCGGAATGTACAAATTAAAAATATATTCAACTATACAGGGTGTTCCACTTTTCCTGGACATACACCAACTTTGGTTTTTTAAATGGAAACACACATTTTTTATATTTTTTTCGGATTCTACATAAAAAATAAAGGGTACTTTGTGTAGAATAGTTCCATTCAAATATTCACAGTTTTTGAGGTATCTCGCTTAAAAGGTTTTTCTAGTCGATATTGGTTATTTACACTTTCTGATACTGACAAGTTATACTAATAGTTAGTAAGTCCATTTTTTTATCAGATGTTTAGTAAGGATGACTCTTCCGAATCATGCTCCAAAAACTGGCCTGCGTTATACAGGGTGACCAAAATATCATGTTAGAATTGCCAATTGAAAAATTAAAAATCTCGATTTTTTTAAATGCAACGCCCTGTATATTTTCATACCATGAGATGCAGAATTAAATTCTCTACAACTTTGTTATATCTGCTCCTATACCAAAATTCATTAGTTTTTCATGAAATCTCATTTCTATGAAAAAATGCGAAATTTACTAATAGCTTATATGTAAAATAACGTAGTAGGCTGCTGTCAAATGATAATCTGGAAAATGTTCGATTCACATAAGGTTTAATAGAAAGAAAGGTTTAATAGAAGAAGAGAAGCCCATGGTAACTTCATTTTTAAAAGTCGAAAATTTTTTTGCGATTTTCTATCTTTATTAAGCCTTCCGAATACGTGGTTAAAATTAATGACATTATGACTGAATTACCCTGTATAAACTGTATCATTACGGCGTTATTTAATATTTTATAAAAAATCAACAGGCACGGTTTACAAAAATCTTTATAAGTTTCTTCATTGTGTAATTAATAATTATTGATATAGATTGAAATCTTTTAAAATTAAAATCAATGTTAAAATAAAATCTTGCTTCAATAAAACGGTAGATTTGTACTTTAAGTTGTTACAATTAAATTGTCCTTTTTCTAATATAGTTATTGTATGGGTTAGTATGAAAGTAATATTTTATTTAAAAATTTGAATTCGAATACTATGAACGTCTTTTCACTAAAAAATATGTATTTAGTCGGTCTCACATAGGAATTCGAGGTCTGTTCAGAAAAAAAACGAACATTTGGAATTACGCGCTAACGGAGATATTTAGTGATATGCCGTTGGCAGCATTGCGTTGCGCATAACCTCCTCTGTGGCCACATGTTCTTGAATTGTTGATACCTCATTTAGTTTTCGTGATATTGTTCTTTGAGTGCAAAGTGTAGTGACGATTTTTGAAATGTGCGATTTTCTGGAACAACGATGCAACGTAAAATTTTGCATGAAACTGGGGAAAACTTTCACAGAAACGTTGAACTTTTGAAACAAGCTTAGAGAGGTGATGCTTTGGGTCATACGAAATGTTAAATGGTTTTCATGAATTCATGATTTAAAAGTGGTCGTCAGTCAATTGACAATGATCCTCGACCAGGAAAGCCTTCAACTTCAACTGATGAAAGTCAAAGATCTGGTACTTGCAAATCGCCGATTACTGTCAGAGAAATTGAATAATTCCAAGAAATTTTGACTGAAAAATTGAACATGCATCGAGTTGTAGCAAAATTTATTGGAAAATGATCTCCACGTTCCAAGAAAGCACGTCAGTCTCGATCCAATGTCAAAGTGATGCTCACTGTTTTTTTCGACTTTAATGGAATTATACATTTTGAACCTTGTCTCAAGGTGAAACAGTGTATACTCTCAAGACGTTTTACAACGGTTACTTGAAGAAATCCGCAAAAAGAGATCAGAGTTGTGACGAGACAACTCATGGTTCTTGCACCATGACAATGCGGCCGTACACTCAGATTTGCCAGTTAGTCAATTTTGTGTCAAAAATCAGATTACTGTTTTTTTCTCACTCTCCTTACTCGCCAGACCTGGCTCCTTGCAATTTTTTCTTATTTCCGCAATTAAAATCAGTGCTGAAAGGGCGCCGTTTTCAGATTATTGGTGACATCAAAGCAAATTCGTCAGCGACTTTAAAGGACATATCAAATGGAACTATCCAGCACTGTTTCGCGAAATGGAAACATCGCTGGAAAAAGTGTGTGAATAGGGGAGAGGAGTACTTTGAAGAAGATGAGGGTCAATAATGTATAAAATTAATAATAAAGTTTAAAAAATAAAGTTCGATTATTTTCTGAGTATTATATCGATGGTTTCGTTTGATTATACTAATCTAACTTTTTTTGGAATTTTGGCGTTATTAATATGATTTAGATGAGAAAGTTTCTGAAAAAAATAGTTTAATTTCGCCTGAAATAAGTCGCTAATATATTGATAAATTAATTTCTCACTACCAATACCATTTATAATAAAGTAATATTTTTTTGTTTTTAGACATTTTTTGTAGATCCATTGACGGCGTACACATCAGTTACAGAAACTTTAACTGAGACAAATCCTGAACCGTTTATCACAAAATTACCAATAGAGTACATACAAGCAAACGAATTTAGCCATGTCCCCTGGATTATCGGTGTGGTTCAAGACGAAGGTATACTAAAAGCGTCAGGTGAGTAAATAAAATATCAAATGTCTCCTATAGAAGAGAATATAGAATAACAATTAGTTTTGACTAATCTTCTGTCGCTTAAAAAATATATATTTTTTGTAGCACTTCTTCGACAAAGTGTTCAGCGAGAAACCTTGAATAATAATTTTCCCAGAGTTTTATCAGATTTACTTCTTCTTTCGGCGAGTACTACAAATCCACAGAGTTTGTACAACGATATAACTGAGTATTTCCTTAACAACAAAAGTTACGTTGATGTATCAGATGCACAAAGCGTTCAGGGATTAATAAATGTGAGGAACAGTACTGAAATTCGTTAACATTTCGATATTTTTATTTACAATTCTTACAGTTGTATACTGATAGGGCGTTTTCATACTCTACTTACCAGTCAGCTGTTCTTCAATCCACAAAAGGGCATCAGCCAATTTGGTTTTACAACTTTGATTACAGAGGGTTATATTCCTATGGGAATCTCTTTTCAGCAACTTTAGAAGATATTAACTTTGATTGGGGTAAGCTCTAATTTTTAATTACAATTTGATAAGGAGGTAAGTGGATTTTACCGTAGAAGTGGAAGTTGCTATGGACAACGGGAGGTAAGTGAAGTAACTTCCCTCCCTAGGGAAAAAAGCGATTTCGAGTTATAAATGCATATTTTATGAACAAATAAATAGAAATATTTGATGAACATTACATTTTATTAATTATTATGAATCAATATTTATAGTAATTGTACAGTTATTGTTATTACATTTAGTAACATATATAAAATCTGGATAATTATTTCCCTCGCGTTTACTAATTGCCACATTTTTCTCAAAATGATTTGACCGCTCCATTTCAGTCACCAGAGGCTCAATATTATCTGACATTAAATATTAAAACAGCATGATGCGACGTACTACTAGAACCTGGAGTTGAAGTGTCATTGTAAAGAATCCTGTTGGCTATTTAATTTTTGTTACTTAAACTGTCATCAACATAACTTTCTGCAATTGTGGCTGATTTCCACCCACCATGTCTCTTGATTGCTAATACATCAACTCCTGTATTAGCCAGTAACGTTGCCGATGTTCTTCGGAATAAATGGCCTGTATATGTTTCAGGATGTTCTAGTTTCAAAAACTGTGCAATCTTATTAGGAACCATATAAAGGGTATTCTTGCCGACTGGTTGGTTGTAATCTAATCTTGATATATTTCTTGACAATTTCTCGGTGAGAAACAGAACCCAGACGAGAAGTAATTTATTGTAAACGTACGTGACATACTATTTTTAGAATCTGGAATTGTAACTACAATAATGTAATCGAATTTTTGAAATTGTCGTCGAAAGTAAATTGATATATCCACGTTCTCCTCTATGAAAATAGTTGACTTAATCATTGAGTATTCACTCCAAAAACTCGCCGGTGACTTTAAAGTTCTTGACTTCTCCATGAATTATGCTAACAGTGACATTTCAGAAACACCAGAATTTTTGTTCTGGCACCATCTTTGAAATTTCTATATGCTCGTCCGTAGCGCACTTTCGACTTCTCGAGCTCCTACTCTATTGCCAACCCTCGCTCCACTCGCGCTCGGGCGCAGAATCGTCCTGTACTGGTCAATAATACCATTGTATAAGTAAATACTTATACAATGATAATACTTACCTCCTTTATGGTGTAAATAACTATTTGCTATACCTTTGGTATTAACAAAGCCAAAAAATTATAAAAAAAAACCATTGCTGGAATCAACTTCTTGTTTCTGCCAACAATGACAGTAAATTACAAAAATAGTATATTAAGTATTAAGGTAAGTAAGTGTTCTTTACTGATTGAGGACTGTTTGGAGGTCGATATCTCCAAAACGTCCGAAACCATTAAGGCACTTAATTACCGCAGTGCTTATGACGTTTCTTTGTACGCTCAAATAGTGAATAAATTTAATTAAAACTAAAAAATTTAATACTTTAAAAACAATATAATGTATACATTTAAAAAATATTTTTTTGTACCCAAACCGATCATTTAATCAAAATTCTACAGGAGGCCAAAGAACGTTTAAATGATATCACCTATCAAATAAAAAATAGTTGCCATTATTGGACGAAAGAGGAAAAAGTTATGGACATCATAAATCAATTTTGTAGGAGTTGTAAGTTTTAAAGAACACTCTGTATAACAATGTGTAAATTGAAAGCAAAAGTCACACTACAAAAGTAATCAAAATCGAATAATACGTATTCGAGTTATTTACAAAATTCAAAAAATTTTCACGAATTTTGAGGTCATCTAGCGGCCAAACGAAGCGATTTTGAATATAGTTGAATTAGCCTAAATCTGCTTATTTTGAGTCCACGAATCTTTGCACGGTCTTCCGTTTTACACGTTATTCTGGAACACCCTGTATAGGTATACAATTTTGAATATTGTAAGTCATAGTAAAGTCTAATATTATTGTAAGTTTTTTTCTAAAATACTTCAAGGTAGAGGGGGTTGAAGTTCCAAAACTTATTTCGTAGTATTCCGCAGATTTTTCTTTGGAATCACTTGATTGTTGCACTATCTATGTTAGGCACGATTTATAACTTGTATAGTTAGTGATAAATAATGTAGTCCACTGGCAGAGATTTAGGGTGACAACCTGCTTTTTTTCAGTAGAATTTCTACGTCCCTACATAAAAAAATTGATACAGTTTATTAATTATTATTTAGTCTATTTGGAAGAAAAAAATGTTGTTGTTATTCTCCAGTGATGTGTTCCATTTTCGAGTTATTAGATTCTTTACAAAATAATGCGATGTATGAACAAAAATATATTTATGGGAACATGACAATAGTATTGTTTTCTTTCAAATAGAATAAATAAATAGTCGATAACTTTTATTAGATTTTTAAAAGTCAGGAGGTTGAAAGGTGTAGAAATTAATTTTCACTTTCGGAATTATATTTACAAATTATTTTTGTAGTAACCTCGTTGATTTTTGTTAAACTTGTAACGTTTATTGCGTTTGATTTATTTATACTTCTGGTTACAATTTTAGGTGTATCCCATTGCGACGACTTACTATATTTATTTAATTCTCCTGGATTGATACCTCCATTGGTGGCCGAGAACGATATCTGCGTGAGCGAAGTCATTATTAACTTATGGACCAACTTTGCAATTTACGGGTAAATATACATATTTTATTAAAAATTATCTTATCACGATTGGAAGTATTGTACTGGATTTAGCTATTTGTGGATCACAGGTTGAAAAAAGACACCCAATAAAAGAAAAGGTTGTCCTAGTGATCTTAGGCACAGGCCTCTTCGACGCGTAGACAAATTTGACGGTGCACATTGCACTCAAATTCACAATGGTCTGTACAATATTTTTTGAGATGGAATTCGAAGGAAATTATCTACTGTAACAATTTACCGCGGTAGGGGCGTGCCTTAAAATTTTCCGCCAATGCCTTTCCGCATCGGGTGTCAAATTTCTTGATGTTTTTAGAAACACATCGCTCTCTTCTTCAGAAGAATCTATTTGTTCGGTGTCCTAGTTCCCCCATGTCCAGATATAGGTATTCCATTTATGTGATTCAAGAATCCTCTTTTCTTATACCTATGGGCTAGATAATAAATGTATATCAATATATTATCTGAATCAACTTACTAGCTTTAGAAGCTTTCCTCTCGAAGGAATCTATGTAGATATTTGCTCAAGCTGGAAACGAGGGTGAATTCATAACTGTTCTTTCTACTTGTCTATGAATCTGATGCCTAAAGAAGAAGAAAGTCCACCAAGTCAAGACAAGTCCAGAGAAAACAATACGACACTATACGGCACTGCGTTTACAGAAAGCCAATTCACACTGATCTGATTCATAACTGATCCTTCTATTTGTCCGTGAAACTGACTACTGACTACTAAATTCTCATCCTCGTCTTTATGATCGTCAAGTCCATTGAAATCAAGGCGACAGACATTCTAGGACACAGTGTTTATACAGAAAGCAAACTTTTATAGATAGATATCTGAACTATGAGTCTCGTCACCAACCAGTTTGTTTCTAAAAACAGGGTGGTCAACACATTGGTACATCGAGGACATGCTATTTACGAGCCGGAACACTTAGACAAAGAACTACAAAATTCGCGATTGCTCTTAAAGGAACTGGATACCGGTCAGGAATATCGAACAAGCCATCAGAAGGACATCTAAAGACAAGAAAAAATAAGAATATCTGATAATGAATTATCTGTCCTATATACAAGGATAAAGGATGTATTCTCTACAGAACCTCCAGAAGACGGGGTCAGTTTTTCCCAAATGGAACAATCTACTCCGGTGAATTTACGGAAAAGTAAAATTGGGCATACAGGAAAACACGCTAGTACGAGGATAAATGAGCGCAACTTCCACTAATACCAACGTAGAAAAATTAACAGTTGCAGAACACATATCAAATACAGGATACGTGATGGATCTAACTGATACCAGATTCCAGTAAAACGATGTTCTAACACAACTGGGCTAATTAATTGATTATTAAACATACCACATCACACGTTAACATTGAATCGATGCTGAAAGTTACTTTCCACCGTGGCATACAGATTTTCATCTGACCAACGATGTTCATTGTGACAATTATTTTTTACTCCATCAAGAGCGAACTGAGCCTCATCAGTAAACGTGATGTATTTGTAAAGTGTACGGTTTCCGTTTATCCAATTGCAAAAATGCAACCGCAAATCATTATCACCTTCCTGCAGATTCTGGACACGCTGAATATGGAACGGTTTTAAACCATTTTTGCGAATGGTTTCCCATGCCATAGTTTGCTTCATTTGGAGACAGGTTGCAATGTACTTACACCCGGGCTACGCTCTGCCATATTTAGAATAAAATATCAAATAATAACAAATTTCGCAATAAAGAGATTTTCATTGCATCTCATAAACCGTCGAATTTGACCATATGTTTATTAGGCTTTTCTGTTCACTTTTGCCCCCTGAACACCTCCTCAGAATATTGGGGGTTCCACCCCAATCACCCTATCACCCTGTATAAATATCAGCCAGAGGACTTAATCTCAAGTTCAAGATGCCAACTTCGAATACTCGAACAAAGAAAGAGACACGGTAGCGTAGTCGGTCGAGCATGCGGTGGCAAGCATTTCTCGGCCATACTTCCTATTCTGGTACGGGTTCGATCCCTGGCGTCGGCACTGGCAATGTCGATAGATAATGGGTGTTTGTCAGCGTTTTTTCAAGTGTAGCCCCCTTCCACACAGCTTTTGGCTTCGGATTTGGGGGTTCATTTCTGTGGTGTGTTTTATGTTTTTATGTTAAAAAAAAAGAGAAGCTCGAATATGATCTATGGAATGACCGACAAAAATGAAGATGGACAATCGTAATAAACCAAAGTGATAATTATGTCATTCTTATTAAAAAATAAGTAAATAGAATCTAAAAATATTGATAATTGTTAGTAAATTGTATTCTAAATATTAATAAACTTATAAAAGGACTACGAACGGTGCTATGCTAGACTAGCTATTTTCACTAAGGATAGTTAACTAACTACTGTATCATCTCAACAAAATACTATATTTTTCATTAATATGTTTTTGTAATCCTTTAGAAATGTTTTCCCATCTGTATATTCAAAATTTTTTCAGAGTTTTGTTCTATATGTACAGATGATATTATCTTCTATGTTAAAAACTCTGCAAACGTACTGTATGCCTGCGTGATACACTAATGTTTAAGTGCCCGCGAGGGAGACGGAGAGTGGGGACAAACCAGTGCGCGGAGCAAGCGCGAGTCCGACAGTGTGTCACTAGTGAAGGGCAAAACGGGTCATTTTTAGGATTCGGGTCACCGGATCCGGGTCTCTTCAATGAGCCGAATCTATGATCCGGATCCCGGGTCGTCGGGTCGGTCGCTTCGTTCTGGATCCAACGTTGACTGAACGGTTCTGGTTGTGGGACTGTATTAGAATCTGGGGTATTAGTGCTGGGCGATAATATCCGATGTTTGGAAAGCATCGATGTTTTTCTGTCGATGTTCAATGGTTTGTCAATTGTCATCGATGTTAGAAAGTTCGAAACATCGATTCCAATATCGATGTTTGCCTTTCGATGTTACTTGCATACATCGCAAAAAAGAGCAGTTCTTTAGTAGTAGTAATATTTTATTTGACACAATTGACACAAATAAAATATAATAGTATATTACATTATAGATAAGCATAAGGCCGTTATATAGGTATATTTTATGTTTTCTTGAACCTTTTGAATCTAAAAAAGAGTACCTAAATAAAAAAATTGTTGTGTGCATACATAACATGACAGTAATTGCTAGTCAAAACTTGACAGTATTTCCATTGTCCCATGATGAAACACAGATGTGTTTCTAAGCATCAATAATTATGGTCATTATTGTAATAATAATATTGTAATTAATTTAAAAAAAATATATATAAAACATACTTATATTTATTGTTTAATAAATGTATGCCATACGTCTTCGTCTACGAGTAGTCTCCAGTTTCTAGTTGTAGGTTGTAGCTATAAGCAGCTTGCCCGTTCCGACATTTGACTAATCTAATCAATCACAAAGGCAAAACAAAAAACAAACTCTCTAATTAATTCTTCTAAGAATATCGGCGATATATCCATAATAATATTATATTAAAATTGTTAAGTCACCATAACTGTCCAACAAACTTTGTCATTGGAAGTTTTTGTTTTTGCCAATAAATAATAAAATATAAAATAAACCGCAGTTGATTTTGCTGTGTGGTATTTATTATTTATAATTATAATCGTAATTTAATAAATCTAAGCAACGAATATTTATTAATTTGTTTCGTTAACAATTAATAAGAATAATTTCATTGATACAAGATATGCGACGCTATGTTGCATGTGTTAGAATATGTAACATAACGTCATGTATTATAGTAGGCGCATATCTTGACTTGTGGTGTCTTATTGCTTCAGTCTTCACTTCACAGTTAGAGAACTCTTATTATTTTGTGGTGGTAAAACGTAGTGCTAATCGTTTGTATTATAAAATATCATTTAGAAAAACAAGTGAAATTTGGAATCACTTTTCTTTTGAAGAGGCAGATAGTAAAGGAAAATGTAATCTTTTGGTAAATTATTTATACTTTTTAATTTTATAAATACATGTTTATGTCGTATTTTATAGGTATCAAAATTATTAGAGATAAATTTATACCGGACGAAACTGGGGTCATTTCGGAAGAAATTTCGACAAATGAGCCAGGTCCATCTAATGATAATGTAAATCCTGTTAGTCGGAAACCGAAAGAGTTAGAATCGTCAAAACGTAAAAGACAAGAGGTTATGGACAATTTTGTAGTTAGTGCCAAGCCGGTTTCTATTAATAAATCAAAACTTCTTGATCAACAGTTAATACGTATGGTAGTAAAAGAATACCAGCCCTTTTCTATCGTTGAAGACATAGAATTCAAAAAATTTGTTAACATGTTATGTCCTGGATATTCACTACCTAGTCGCAAAACAGTCACAAATAGTTTATTACCGCATATTTATAATAAAGCTAAAGAGGCAGTTAAACTGAAAATTAATCAGTCACATGCAGTGTGTATAACAACAGATAGTTGGACTTCCATAAACAATGAAAATTTTGTAGCAATAACCGCCCATTGGTGTGATGATTCTAATGGGCAATTGAAACTATGTTCCAATTTATTAGATTGCGTCGTTTATGATAAACGTCATACTGCTGTAAATTTATGCGAATTTAAAAAAAAATTTGAGGACTGGGAAATTCAAAATAACATTTCTGTTGTGGTTAGCGACAATGCACACAATATTGTTGCGGCAATAAGGCAAGGCAATTGGCGTCATTTAGGTGGCTTTGCTCATACGATTAACCTGATTGTTCAGAGAGGCCTCAGGGAAATTGAGCCTACATTAAATAAATTTAGAAGAATCGTGGGAGTTTTTTAAAAGAAGTTCCCATGCCTTGTCAAAATTAAATCAGACTCAAGAGCAAATGCAACAGCAAGTATTGAAATTAAAAATTGATTGTGCACCAGGTGGAACTCGACATTGGATATGCTCGAGAGATTATGCAGAAGAAGAGATGCTATTATATCCACTTTAGCCATATTGCAGCACGAAATCACATTGAGCCCTACAGATTGGGACATTGCAAAGCATGCAATATCTATTCTTCAGATTTTTAATGACGTAACGTGTGACATATCCGCTGAAAAAAATGTATCTATTTCAAAAATAATATTATTTGTTAGTGCTATGGGAAACCATCTATTAGAATTTCAAGCAACTTTACCGTTAAGAGAATTACAAGTAATATTGGAAATTTACCTGAAGGAAATAGCCGAAAATTTAGAAAATAATGAACTTGTGGCACAAGCGACTCTACTGGACCCGCGCTTTAAAAAATACGGTTTCAGAGACATAAATAAAGCAAATAATGCAGTAGAATTACTGAAATCAAAAATTAAATTATTTAGAGATGAAAGCGTCAATGTGAATATATCAGAAGAAACAAATAAAAATGTTCAATTGCAAGAATCAAAAGATAGTCGTCAGAAGTCTTCCATATGGAAGTCGTTTGATGAAAAAGTGAATCAAATCCGAGTCCCGAGTAATCCCACAGCGGCAGCTATATTGGAAATAGATAAATACATGGCTGAATCTTTAATAGATAGACATGAAGATCCATTGCTGTGGTGGTATGAAAGGAAAAATATATATCCAAAATTATATGCATTAGTGCAGAGACGGTTGTGTATTACGGCAACATCTGTTCCGTGCGAGCGCATTTTCTCAAAAACGGGACAAATTGTTTCAGAAAGAAGAAGCAGATTAAAAAGTTCTAAAATAAGCGAAATTATATTTTTACATGTAAATCTTTAAAAAAATGTATTTATATCCACTTATCAAAAAATAAAAAAACACGATTTAAGTAAATAAAATATATCCTTAAAGGTTGCAAGGTAAGTTAGTAGAAAGATAGGTATCTAAATATCTACTAAATCCTATAGTCTACATTATTTTTCACATAATAATTCACTTGACATGAGAGAATAAAACTGTTTTTATTTTACTAAACAAAATCGAGCAGCTGATGGAAATAACGAGCCAATAAAATATATCATAATCATCTGATGTCACCGCTCTCGCTACTGCAGGTGGCTCAGCCGCATGAATGGGCAGAACGGGTCATCATAATGATTGATCTAGATGACCCGGGTCACTAAAATACACGAGTCTTCCCATCACTACATACGGGTCTCGGGAGCGGCGGCGTACTCCGTAAACCTCTGCGATCAATTTCATTACATAGTGCCACAGCACGGCCATACGAGATTAGCTGAGGTCCGCGACCCGAGTGATCCGACAGAACTTATATCGGGATTCGGGTCAGTCAGATCATCGTAAAGATCCGAATCTTTGATCCGGGTCAGACCCGACCCGCCCATCACTATGTGTCACTGACTTCTTTAGAGTGTAGTCGTATAATTCGACTTTTATTGTTAAAACGTATTATACCCATTATTGCCGTCAATTTGTAGTAACAAAATAAAATATTAAATTCATCACCAAGGTTTTATACCCATCCAAAACAAAAGCGGTGTTTCCGCCAGGGAAAATTACTTCCCAGCAAATACCCACCTAACATTCTAAATAAAAGCTTTAGTACTAGCATAATATTTATTTTTTAGTAAAATTCTCTCTCTATACATATATTAATAAATTCACTTAAAAATAGTGTTTTTGTTGCAAATGGACAACTCTTGTTTCGGTAAAAAAGAGTTGAAAAGTTTTGCTTCGATGTACGCGTCGTTGTAACATCGGCTGTGTTTTTAATGAATATACAAAATAATCATAGCAAAATAGCGCTCTATGTGGCCTTAGTAGTACAGATATTACACTCATAATTTGTTGTAGTGGTTAGTGGTATACAGTTTGCTTATTTTTAGGGATCCCAATCCGCTTGAGAATCCAGCTTTGGAAGGCATAGACTGGAAACCTCTAGATATAAAAGATGATGATAAGAATAAAAATGATAAATTATGTTTCTTAAATTTTACTGGTAGTTATATCGATCAATTCCACGTGACCAACCAGTGCGGTTTCCATAAGGATAGAATGTCATTCTGGGCAAAACAAGATTTATTTGAAAACATTCCTGGTGTTGATTAATGTTGGTGTTTGATTTTGATGCAAATTATGTTTTTATAAATTATGAATGTTATTAAATTTTATGTTACAAAACTATATTCTTATGATGAAAATGTAAATTATCTACTAGTTGTTTCCTTTTTTTATAAATAGTTACAATCAGTTTAAAGAATTTTATTGTCTCCGTTTTCCATTTTTAATGCTAAATGTTTTTTGTGCCCTGTCTAATATTTGCAACCACATAATATATAATAGTAATATGTCCCTGCTTCTTTCGTACATATGTTTGGCTTCTGGATTAAAGCTTTTTAATAAAATAAGCAGTAGGTACTCTTCATCGTTAAATGCGTTTTTCCGAAAACGGTTATTGCTAATAAAGTTATGGAAATCAATCAATCTTAAAAATGGATAAAAATTCGGGATCCAAGACTACAAAGGTCGCCTTATCCTCAGAAAGTAAATCACTAAATTGAATAAACTGACAGATATAGCTTCAAATAACATTCGAAAAATGATTTAAATTTAATTGAGAAACAGAAGAGTTATAATGTAAAATAATAAACATGTATTTAATTTTTACTTGTATAGTTGTTAATTTCATTAATTAAAATATGAGCATAAAATATAGAAACCTATTGAATTTTAAATTTGTACAGTGTTCAAGACTACATTTCCTGGAAAATATTTGAAATTACAAAATAAGGTATGACTAGAATATAGTGTATTAAAGTGCGATTTTGGATAACATTTTTCTTTACATTTTATTTAACATATGTACATAAAATCCAGTTCAATTTTGTAGTATAATTAACTAATTTAATAAAACATGTAAATTTAATTTACTGTTATTAGCTTAATTTATAGCAAACTCGTTATCAATTTTAACCAAAATTCTACAAACCAATAATTTCCCTTTATGATTTTTAATTGGAAAGGCAGATTTAAAATTTTAGGAAATCAGATTCTCTACGGAATATGGTACATACATTTTGCAAATGTTCTATCATGGACATCATAATAAAAAAATAATGTACTTTACCCGAAACAAATACAGGGCGTTCCACGAAGAATTACACAAACATTAACGAGACATTTCTTAGATAAAAATAAGCAAACATTTTTATACAAACCTTGGTAAGGGAATATAATGTTTTCGAAATATGGACCTTCACATTTTTTAAAAAACAAAATAAGAATGTGATAAGGTATTCTTACATTTAGTATTTACAAAATCATGCTTGTTTGAAATATTTATTAATATTTGTGAAAAAAATAATTCTTGCAAAATCTTCATATTTTCTTATACTTTGGAGTAAATTACATACTTGATGATCATTAAACTGTCTATTTATTTTACAACAGGAACTGCAGTTTTTCAACAATAATAATAATTTGTTAACATATAGAAAAAATAAACTTGAAGAGGGCGATATACAAACAATAACAAATAAATAAAAAAATAAGTTAATATAGTCTAACATTGTTATTGGTACGAATAAATTAAAAATAAATGTAACTCCGTTTTTTAAACAAACTATATTTTTTCTTATTTCAAAATTACTATTCCCAATCCTCCTTGTATATTTGTTAAACACGACTTGCAAAGTTTTGTATTTTGTCATTTATTCGTGCTACAACTATGTTTACATATTTGTCTATGTATGTTTAAATTATCTTTATCTGTTATATTTGTAATTATATCAAGCCCGTTGATTTAACTTTTTTATACCTATTAACTAAATTCTTATCAAAACTGTAGTTTCTGGTGCAAAACAATCAGAAAATACAAATATGATTACGCAGTTTACTCTAATATCTATGAAAATTCGAAAATTTTGTTTCGAAAATAAATTGCTAAAAGGAGTAGGCGTACAGCTTGACCAAATTCATCTTGTCCGCGAGATTTATCGCAATGACATAGTTACCAGACTAGCAGTGGAGCTCATTCTTTGTTTAAACGGTTTTGGTTTCCTGTCTTTGTCACTCTGTTTTTGATCTGCGCTTCTCGCGACAAGGTGAATTTGATCAAACGAAAATTCACTCACGAAGGAAGGTGAACTCTTCATATCCATCTGTGTATCCTATACTGACAACAGAAACGAGAATTAGTAGCATGATTTTGTAAGTACATTTTTTTTTAAACGGTCGTAAACGAAACGTGTCTAGACCAAGACACAGGCCAAGACAGATATATTTTTTTTGCTTATGTTGAAATGTCTCCTCAAATTTGTACACTTTTTCATGAGACATCCTGTAGGAAAGGTACCGAGATACTTTAAATTTATTACGTCGAATGATTTGTGTAAATGTTTTATACAATGTGGAAGAGCCAAATGGAATAAATTCAGTATCTCAATTATTGTGCACATTTATAAAAAATCTCGAGGCACGTCCATTTTGGATTCTGAAATGACATCCTGCAACGTAAAAATTTCATCCCCAATCAAAAATGCTATGGTTTTAATATTTATTGCAAAAATTGATGGTCTGATTAACAAAATTTGTTACAACAAAAATTTAGCAAAAACAATTTCAGTGTTTTTCTCTTTCAACATTTTCAAATAAAAAGAAGATACAAAAACTTATCAAAATTATTCACAGCTGGCATTGCCAATTTTATTGCAAAAAAATAATGGTTGCGGTTAGGTCGGTCACGCCTCAGATGTTGGAAAACGTTAGAAGACATTTTTATTTACAATTGGAATACGGCCAAGACATCCAAGGAACTAATTTTGAACATCTTCCTTGAAATTAAGTTTTTTTTAGTTTGCTGTAGCGAATTTCGTCAAACTGATGAATTTATTTTTTTACTGCTAATTTTTACAATAAATATTAAAACCATAGTATTTTTGAATAGAGAATGTAAATACCTTCCTTTCAAATGAGACATCATAGGCCGTTACTTCGCATTTAAAAATTTAGGGGTTGTAACTGCCATTCGAAGGGGGTTGTTATTTCACAATCCAAAATCGACGTGTCTCGGGATTTTTTATAAATATGCACATTGCACAATAATTGAGATACTGAATTTATTCCATTTGGCTGTTCCACACTGTATACTTGATATTAACGTTTAATAAAATATTTACACAAAATGTTGGAAATAGGTACTACATATAGGTGAACAGTTTGGTAACAAGAAATATTTTTATAAAACAAAGTATAAAAACAAAACATTCCTATTTACACTTTCATACCGCATTAATCTTTAATTTTAACTCTTAAGCTGGTAGCCACTCAGAAGCTGGCAATGAAGAAAGGATATGGTCTGACATGATCTTGAAAAGTTCGTTGGTGGTTTCAATAAAGATGGGATTGATGGCATCCATCACTCGACGAGGGTTTTCATTGAAAAATAGAGTTATTAAATCGGCTGAAATAAATAGTTATTTATATTAGTACTAGTTGAATATAAACATATTTTAGCATAAAAAGGCTTGATTCCATATTAGATAGTCAGGCAACAAAATATTTTATCATTATTTTTTATTACATATAACAATTTTATTAGTCTATTTTAACTTCCCCTGGAGCTGTGACGTTATGATAACCGATTGTACATATGTGTTTTTAATTATTAAATATTATGGTTTTAAAGAAATGCATTTTCATATTTAGCAAGATGTACATCTTCAGTTTCTATAAAATAACCAATAACCAAATATGTACTCGTGTATATTAGGTTGCGGAATAAGTAATGCAATCAATAGGCTAATCAGTGATATATTTTTCATCGTTATTTATTACCTTCAACAAGTTGCTCGATGTCCCTTCTGTAGAAATCCTTCAACCAAGTTCTTAACTCATTGTCGTTGTTAAAAGAAATACCGCGTAAGGAATTTGATAAAGTGCGGAAGAAGTGAAAATCAGATGGCACGAGATTGAGAAAGTAAGACGGGTAGGACCGAGACCGAACCAATTAAGTATTCGAATGACCGTTTTGGTCATATTGGCGATACGTGATCTCACATTGTCATGTTGCAAAAGAACGTCGTATCGCCGATCAGGTTTTTTTTGTGGAATAGCCGCGTGGAGTTGCTGTAGTTGTTGGACATAGAGTTCTGCGTTGACGGTTTGATTGTTCGGTAAGAATTCGTAATAAAGAATCCTTTACCAATCCCACCAGACGCATAACATTGTCTTTCGAGGATGAAGTTCTGGTCTTGTTCACGGTTTTGCTTGTATTTTTTGGGCTTAACCATTCTTTCTGTTGTTTCAAGTTCACCAGTGACAATATGGCGAAGAAAACATTTCTTATGTTGATTATCTTAGATTTTCGTAAAGGAGTCGATTAGATTGCTCTTCATCAAATTCAACAGGGCATCGGAACGATTTTTGTCTTTAAGGTTGAAATTATCTTCTTTAAAAAGCGAAAACCATCGTTCATCCAGCGTATGATCACCATATACAGCACAAATTTTCCGAGCAACTTGAGCGGCTTTAGCGTTTTCCCCGTTTCGATTATAAACAAATAGAGTTTGCCAAAAATGATCGATTTTATCAACTTGACATTTCGTTTCAAATGAATGAAAGTTCACAATCTAACGAAGCAACCAAAAATAGTTAATTTGACAGCGCGTTTAATTTTCATGTGAATTTTTGAATTTGAAAAAAAAACGGATATTACTTATTCCCCAACCCATTAGAACGCAACAACCACGTGAGACATACTTTCTAGTCTGATTAGTCTAGCCGAAATGACTGGAAATCTATTATCTTTCAAAGACTTGAAATGAAACACAATGTGATTTATCCCTTTGTGTATTGAATTTTCTTCATACAATGCAGCATTTACGGTTTCTTAGTTTAAATTCTAAAAATAATCGCTATTGTCATGATTTTTGGACTTTTAATAGTGAATATTACTATACAGAAATAGTTCAAAAAGCATAAAAGTTTTCATTGGAAATGGTTCCTTGAAATATGTAAATGAATATTGTCTGTAATACATTTTTTTTAAATTTTACGTGATCATAGCTGTCATGGAGAGACTGTATTGTACCGAAATTAAAGATTATATCCTCAGTGGTTATTACGTAATTGAACAGAAATTATGTTTTACTTCCAATTTCTAAACGATCATAACCATTAGAATCGTTTTAAGAAAAGATGTCATCATTATTCAGCAGTGTTGTATCATCGTTGTTACACACTGTATTATAAATAAATTATCTTACCTTCAAATTGATGTTGCGGATCTTTGGCAGTTAGTTTAATACTTCCATCTCCTACTGTTATTTTTGTATCTATTTTATTTACTTTGAAGTATTCTTCTCCGTCTTTTTTATATTTCTTCAAGTTTCCTTTGACGTACATTTGCGTGTTAGCTAAAAGGACATTGATAAATTAATTAGTCACAATAAATATTGGTAAGTACATACTGAAGTTTCCTTCAAAGTGGCCAATACTTCTCAAGGGAATGATAAGGAGTTGACCGACCACGTCATAGTCCATATTAAGGTTCACCCAAGGAAGAGTTACTCTAATTTCTCCGGTTTGTTTGACGGGATCGGCTCTAAAAGATAATAAATCTGTTAAATTTACAAAAATTAGTGATTTCATGAGTTGTTAGTTATATGTAGTAGTCGAAAATGGAGGTACAATATAGAACGATCTACTAAAACAAGTTTTACCTTTAAATTTACAATAAATTGGTCCACCAATGCATAGAGTATTTTCTTTATTACTTAATGAGCACGTATACAGGTATCTTTCTTATTTTAAGAGATACAGAAATGGTTAAATGAGCAAAAATGTGCGGAATTTTGAACCGATCAGGAATTTGTTTAAATTTAGAAAATTCCGAATGGTTACGGAGGTATCCGAAGGAAATCGATTAAATGCTATTTCAATTTTTAGACGTATTTCACTTGTTTTTCAAAAATTTGGAACGAAAATGTGTATTCTGATATAAAATGTGGAATCGATTTTTGCTGTCAGTATTAGCGTATCTCTAAAAATGTGTGCTGAGCGGTAGTTAACTTTTGTTCTTGCTGATTGAATTTTTACCTGATTAGAAGAAAAGAGAAACTCTCTTTATATCGATATAATTTATGGGGTTTTCATAAATAAACAACCAAGATATTGAATATAATTATAATTTAAAAAAAATGTCAAGTAGCCATATGAAATATATGAATTTTTTCTAAAAATTTATTCAATAATCTTATTTTTAATACTCTCTGACATAACAAAACAAGAGCAACGAACAAAACAACATAGATAAAGCAGAACAAATTTAAATGGTAAATTTAAATTATATCACACAAATCTTCGTGTACATATCATTACATGGTGGTCCAGATACTTGGCCGCCGAGAAGTCCTAATATGACTATCATGGACTTTTTCTTTTATGGATAGGTATATTAAAGATCAGCTATACACAAGGCGATACGACTATGAGGAAGAATTAAGAATAAATGTTTCAAGACTGATAAATTCAATACCTTCTGACATGGTTCAATCTGCTACACACAATCAGAGCATTTTTGAACGAGTGCAGAAGTGTATAAATAGTAATGGTATGCACTTCGAACATTTGCGATAAAATTTACCATTTAAAGTTGTTTTGCTTTATCTATGTTGTTTTGTTCGTTGCTCTTCTTATTTCTTCTTATGTAAATAAAGGTTGATGTGTTAAAAAGTATTAAAATTAAGAAATATTAAAGTAATTTATAGAAAAAATTCAAATTTTTCACATGGCTACTTGACTTTGTATTATTAAAATTATAATTATATTCAATATCTTGGTTATTTATTTACCCATAAATTATACATCGTTATAAAGAGAATTTCCCTTTTTTTCTAATGAGGCAAAAAGTTAATTACCATCAGCATACATTTTTTATGATACGTTAATACTAACACCAAAAATCGATTCCTTACATTATTTTACATCAGACTACACATTTAAAAAAAAAACAAGTCAAGTACGACTGAAAAGAAATAGCATAAAATTGGTTTCCTTCGAATATATTTGGAACTATTCGGAATTATCACAATTTAAAAACGAATCTGTGATCGCCATAAAATTCTACACATTTTTGCTCGTGTAACCATTTCTGTATCTCTTAAAATTAAAAAGATATCTGTATTGGACAATTAAAAAGTTGTAACCTACTTTTTATTAAAAGTTAAAAAGGTAGCTACATTAAAATACAGCTATAGTTGGTAGTAATGAATAAATATTAAGTTATTAAGGATTTCTAAACTTAGTCAATAAATTAGAAATCGTTTTATTGTCTCCAATTTCTTGATCAATTTATTGAAGCTAGGAAATTTACCACAATTTTGCTAATTTCTTAATAAAAAAAATTAATACATATCTTTGATATAGTTTGAAGACATTTCTATGGCAAAATAGCATGTGAATTTCACTTTCTGAATTACTGTTAAAATCGTTTCCTTACTTTCACCTCGAGTTAGGTTCTATATTTATACTTATGGTACCTTTGTAAGAATGGCACAACTTTCTTGTAACATTTAAACATAAGACAAATATATTTAAATTGGCCAAAAATTGTAATTACAGTTATTCAAACACAATGATTATTCTTATTGCTTGATATTTACAGGGCATAACGTAAAGTTAAATAGGTTATGTTTTACTTTGTTCATAGTAGAAAAATATAAAAAAATAATTATCAGGAAAAGTAGTGACTTGTTGACAGTGCGTGTAAAAAGTAATCATTGATTTAAAATAAGTCTTTTTTACGTAAACCTAAAGTACATATAGTCCGTACGATATTTGTTGAGATGGAATTCCAAGAAGACCCCTGCGCCACTTTCTTGGAATTAACGGCATTCGATACCCGAGGTATGTAGAAAGACATTGGCGGTGTGGCGTTCGCCGTAGCAGCTTGCAGTACATACTGTGTTTTGCAGTTACCTTATTGGTTTATACTTTTCTTGGAATTCTATCTCAACAAATATCGTACGGACTCTATTAATGTTCCAATTTTCTTTTAAATTGAATCTTAGTATCTAATCGTAGTATTTAACCGTTTATAAGTTTTTTAAGAAGCTTAGATGGACACTACCACATTTATCTTGGTTTCGAATACTTATTACAACATAATATATGTACTTACTTCAAATCTTCTATAACTCTATTGCTTCCACCAATCGTCTTGATGTTCTTACATACGGCATTAATGCTAACTAGCTCATTAACAGTCCTGTTTACAGTCAACAAGGGTAATTCAAATGGATCAAAGGGTGGTAAATTAAGTTCTGGTATGCCCTCATCGAAAAGGCCGTGACTTTTTTCGAACCCATCCAAAACACATTTGCTAAATTCCGGATCGGTTTTCTTACACCTGTATGGCTTAAGTCGTTCGGCTGTAAAAGTGAAAACTTTAATTAGATTGATTACTTGTTTATTTACACACTACTTGATGATTTATATGAAAGTAATACAAGGTTAACGAACTGTTAGGAAATATTGCAAGGCGATATTGGGCAACTGGTTTCCATTTCAGTATCACAGTATTTATCAACATCATTAAATTTACTTAGACAACTGTCATTTTCTAAGATAAGGCTTGTGACAAACATGAAGTAATAAATTTAAACATTTTAATTATTTTGAAACAAAAGGCGCTCTAAAACCTTTTTTTCTGCCGTTTTATACAAACCTACAAAATTTCCACTGATTTTTTCGATTTTTACTATATTTTTTTTGGAAATAAAAATTTAGTTTCATGCTTGATGATTTTTGTAATAAAAACTGTTTCCCCCTGATCAAATTTTTAGTTAGGACAAAATTTAAGAAATAAATAAATGATATTTAATTTAATGAATTCTTCTATATTGTTCACTGTTTTCAGCAACTGATTGCATCTAACTCTAACAGTAAGTAAAAATAATGGTATCATCCGAAAATAATTTTACTTCAGTTTATTAATCACTGTTTATCTAGAATCTAGATGTAAGGCTTAATTTGGGTCCAATCCAAAATCTTGATCGCGGTACAGTTGGAACCTATCTTTGAGATGACAGAATGATTGCAAGACTTAATTTCCAAAAGCCTTTCGAGAGCCGAATAAAGAATTGAGAAGAATGGGAGTCAATACACCAGACGGAGTCATTACACCAGAAAAATTGAGGCTGTTATGATTTACGCATGGCTCCAATACAGTGAGGCAGGAGCAGGAGGTCTAGGAGGCAAAGAAGCCATATTCTGGGAGCCTTCCAAGAAATGTACAATATTCCAAGCTGAAGCTATAAGAGTATGTTTGAAGGAAAATTTATAAAAGGACTACACATGCAAGTTTGTCTACAATAAAGGTCATAAACACAAACAAGGTGTGCTCAAAATTTGTTTGGGGATGTTTGTACCTAATTATTTAATAAACTATCATATAACAACATGTTACGCTGTGTTGCGTGTCACCACATAAAGGCGCTGAAGGAAATGAAAAAGGCTACCTACAAAATAAGGTAGCTGAGTTTTCCTAGATTCAGAGCCAACGTTGAACATTAAGTCCGTAAGAAGGCTTTGAGAAGACGAATTCACAAGAACATTGCGAATACTGGTACTCAAGATCATGGCAGATTAAAGCGAAGGAAATATTAGATGTTGTCTCGCTGAAAAGAATAAATTAAATACTGAGTATGAATAACTGAGTCTCAGAGAGATCGCAGGACGCTCTCGACTGGATGAAAGATTAAATTAGTGGAGAATCCAGTCTGCCACAGCTGGAAAGAAGTATCCGCAATACAGATCTGAATGAATGCGTTTTGCATATTTGCAAGTAATAATGTTGAATGAATTAAATTTCTAACAAGTAAAAAAAAAATAACTCTTATTATTTGGAATCTATTAAACATATTTTTCATCGGTAAATTTTTTCTTATAATTTCAAAAAAAAAATAAAAAAATTGTTAGACCTCATACGTACAAGTTGAAATTATTACGGAATATGTGAAATCCTTCACTGAGCTGTGTAAAATAAAAAAAAGCTTTAATTATGTTTATTAAAATATTAATAGAAAAATCTTCCATCATAACAAGGTTGTGTAGCGTAAACTGGGTCCAATTTACATCATTTAAATGATACGCAATATATACAATGCTGTAGAGTTCTTCCTTCAAATTAATTACATAATATAAAATCTCGTGTAAAACTTTCACAATTCGAATTAGGAGATTTCGCTGTTACGTAAAGTTATGCTTACTTCATATTATAAGGAAATGTAATATGATCTTCACTTCCTGTTTTATTAGTACTGTGGAATTTTAGAACATATTGTACTTTCCTATACAGGGGAAGCAAATCATTGTTAATATCTTATTTTAATATTATTAAGTTCCAATTCTTACTTTTGTATATATACTTAAGTAGCAAGAATATTTTTATTTATTCGAAAACCATTTTCAATGAAAATTTTGAACATTCAAATTTTAAGTAATTCGGAATAATTTTTTGATAAAACTTTCCGAAATGACATCAGATGGCCTTGATATGAATCTTTGCTCATGTAAATTAAACTCAATGAGACATACCTTTAATAGAAATGGAATTTGATCACACAAGACCTAAAAAGAATTGTACCTAAGGCTGTTACAGTCAATGAAATTGAAACCATACATGATTTTCTATATCTATCTATATCTATCTATACAAAACAAAATTTAACATTTGAAAATTAAACCTTATACTACTAGGTACTTACGTAACACTTTACACTGTGCAAGTTGCCATAAAACACATAATACTACAAGAAACTTCATTCTTAATATCAAAGTTTGCAATAAAGCTTTCTACGTCTCCTTGATGAGTATATATACGTGTTTCGATATATTTACAGAGTGAAATAACAAACCCTTTCTCCATCGACATCTACGGGTTTAAATTCCATGAAATGTTCTTAAGCTTCATTATATTTAAGTACAATACAATGCGATTTAATATTTAACAAAAATGTTAATAATTTCAAAAGGACATAATACAAGATATATATCCACTTAAACAGAAATCTAATAATTCTAATCTTGGTCAACAAACTCATGTTGAAAGTGAAAGTACTATTTTTGCTTACTACAAAGCAATAAGTAATATGAAAATTAGTGTTTAATAAAAAAAAAGACAATAGGTTGCTGTAACTAGGTATTATTACTTTACTTACTTGAATAAACTTAGTGGCGGGTTTTTCACAATTAACAAAAAAGTTCCTATAAACATATGTCCGCAAAAGTTTCATTTTTGATGATACAGATTTTTCAAAATAAAAAAATATATATACAAAGATTATTTCAAGTCAAAAATACATAGTTAGGACAGCCATGTGAATAATGCTCAATTTTATTCATAGATAATGTGGCTCCGTGAATAATAGTTATTTTTATTTAAAAAATAATTTGATGGTTTCACACTTGCTTCTAACAACATGCAACATTTTTGGAAATTCTTCAGTAATTACCGTATCTACGCCCCTGTATGTAACAAACCTGTGTCATGCACATACAATTAAAAATTAAAGCACATGGTAAGTTATAAAAGAATACCCACTAAAGTTTAGCAAAATATTTTAGCTACACCCTGCAAATACTGCTACCCGTATAAAAATTACTGTTGTTATACCCTCTAATATGAAATACTGTATATTATGACAAAAAAACAAATCAACATTTTATATCCCTTAAGAACTAAGTCTGCCGAATAATATAATCCAAATTGTTTATTTATTATATATCTACGTATAACGTCATATTGTTAAAAAATGAACCTTGACATAATTCCTTGAAGTTTTTAAATTAAGATATCTACATAATTCATATTCTATTAAGTTCGTGTATAAAAATACAAGTACTTATATTATTTTAAATAAAAATTTACTACTTTAATTTTGCTCTTCAATATTTTAATTTAATTTCCTTATTTAGGTATTTCTACTCAAGCCAAATCGTTCTTCTCAAACTTTATGACAAGTTAGTGGTTGAAAGGTCATTTAACTAGCGTAAGTTCCCTTCATTCGCAACATTGTTTATAGACATTATAAAAAAATAAAAAATGTTAATTATTTACGATTATAACAAATAATAAGCAGGTAAGTGTCTACCTAATAACTAGTTTTCACGAAAAAAGTTAAATTATGATTTAGGTATATTAATAAATTATTGTTAAATTAATTATCTTAATTTTTTATCTCCCGTTTAAATCGTGTCCAGTTCATACAGTTCTCATATTAATTATGTTCTATTTTTTATTAAATGATCAAAGTATATTCTATTTTCGTACCTGCTGCATTCGTAGAACACAGAAAAAATTAAAAATTAACAACATTTTTTCACTAAATATACGTTTTCTTTCTCAAAAATGTATATATTTGTATATGTTTAGACATACTGAATAACATTTTTTCACTGAATATACGTTTTCTTGACCGAAGAAAATATACTTAATATTGTGGTATATTGAGTGTCTGAAAACCAATAGACCATACTTCAAGGGTAGCTGCCTTGGATGCAAATGAACCAGTTTAGATCAAGTGACCTTGGAACATTTTTGCTTTTCTATAAAGTTAAATGTCTTCAAACATTTTTTTTGTGATGTTACTTTTTCATATATTTCAGTATAATGTTAAATAGGTGCATTTCTGAGATAGCTGAAAATGAACATAGACTTATTTCTTACTTGAAGCATAGCTAAGACAGCTACCTCAAAGAAGGAGGAGGAGGAGAAGGAGGAGTATGTTCATTATAATACATTAGAAAATACCCAATTCAGACATACTTTTAGGCGCCTTACAGAAAGACGATTAAAAAATATCCCCGGCTTTGTTGTTTATCGGTGACAATCCAGATTGAGTTGGAGGCAAAATATTTGTATCAATTAATAAATTGTTCAAGAGCAATTTTATTAAGAATTTTAGAAAGCTTGGAAATAATACTATTGGTCTAAGGTCAGAAATATTGTTAGAACACTTTTTTTTTAGACATTAGAATTATATTAGCTACTTTCCAAACATCAGGTAAATGATCAGTAGTTAGACATTTATTAATCAAATAAGTTATATAATAACTCAAATGAGGGTACATCGATGTGAGTATTTTTAAATACATATTTCTTAATACAGCCTTTCGCACTGGGTATAATTTTAGCAAATACTTTTTCAACTGTATTGACATCCACCTCCGAAACCTGAAATTTCTAAAATTAAACATTAGACCTAACAAATGAATATTTTTCTAAAAGAACAACATTATTATAAATCTTATTATTAAACCAGGATTCCTTCTGATAAATACGCAATAGAAAAATTTTCACTGTGTCTATTTCACTAAACAGATAAACTACCGTACGAATAGAACGAATATTAAAATGTGTAAAGCTAAATTTCAAATTATGCATTGGAAAATATTATAAGTACTACCGCCTTTTCATGAATGCGGTCGTCGTTTGTGGCAATAGACCTTTTTAATAGTGACGTCGCAAACGCCAAATAATAGGCAACCCCATAGTGCACATTGTTATGAAGAATAAGTTAATATTTTACTAGTTCGTTTTTCAGCCTTATGTACTTTGGACACAAGTGCGAAAAAAATGGTTTATCTGTCATGATCTTAAATATCGCGTGTTGGTTGTTCTTAAATACTTCCAAATCCTTGTAAAAATAAATTAATTTGAAGTTGTTCATTTTTATAGTATCTATGTAAATAGTAGACAACAGCCAGATTCTGTCTACAATTATTCCGCATCTAAATCCAATACTCCCTTTCCACCACCAGTCCCATTGAGCCCGGTGTTCCCCAGGGCATCGTCCTGTCCCCACACCTATACAGCATTTACAACTCCGACAACCCACATATCCCCAACACCAACATATACTTATACGCCGACAACCTGACAATCACTTCCCAATCCGTAAATCCTAGATATTCCGCCTCCCTCCTCCAAAACTGCCTAGACCAACTTGAAACCTGGTGCAACAGGTGGAAAGTCAAAATTAATCCCAACAAAAGTTCGGCTATCCTTTTTACCAAACGAAAAATTCCACAAAACCTCGACAGACTGACACTATCCCAGGAACCCATCTCCTGGAATCGACAAACACGATACCTGGGCGTGACGATGGACCAGCGTCTCACTTGGAAACCGCACATCGACGAGACAGTGGCGCGAGCGAAGACCACCAGGGCTAGGACCCTCAAAGGTGGAAACAAACTCAGTTTAAGGAATAAGCGAACGCTTATCAAGGTGGTACTTCATCCGTAGTTAACCTACGCCTCCATGGCGTGGGGTCACGCGGCAAAAAGCCACTTAAAGTCACTACAGGTGGTGGAAAACGTAGCCCTCCGCACGGCCACCGACGCGCCCTGGTACGTAAGAAACACTAACATATTACGAGACTTACAATCAGAGAGCGGACAATTTGTGACTTTAACCTTGAACATAGATATGTCATTCATAAACCTAGATACATTACCCATGACGCAGTGGCGTGTCGGGTATGCATCGGAAATTTACGTGATAATTCACGAAAATTCTACGGTACATACATTTTTAGGCGTTATAAAATATTTAGAAAATCAGAAATTGTATACTACATATTTATTAAATAAAGTTCGGTTAAAAATAGTGTCGTTCTTTTAATTGGAAATTAGGAGTCAATGTAACGAATAGCCTCAGGCGACGCACATGATAGAATAGGCCAACTCACGCTCCATTCATAACAGGGCTGCAGTTTGAATTCTGACCAATAGGAATTCGATAAACGCAACCGATGTCGACGGATAGACTAGAGATGGGCTCGAGTGTCATTTCATTTCTTTAGAACTAAATTAACTTAATTATTTTCTCGTTATTTAACCTGTTCACATGATTTATGGATTTTAAATAAAGGGTACAAATCTTCGCGAGGATAATACGATATATTTGCTATACATAATAATTATATTTTGCATAGTTTATACACAATACATTTTTGAACGCGTACACATCTCTACCAAAATTTGACCTATTCTTCGGGTTAAAGTCACACATTGTCCGCTCTCTACTTACAATACACAAACGCTACACAGACAATAAGACAAAACGCGGAGAAACAATTTGACGTAGCCGCTAGACATGACAATCCCCTCCTCAGGCAAGCCGTTAACTACGTACCCGACATGACCGACAAACACAAAAGACCTAGACACCAACTTTTTGACCCTGGGTGACCACCTCAACGACATCCCCCCCCCTGCCCGCTAACCATTTCTGTTTCAGAGACAGCCAGGATCAAGAATCGAAGACAACGACACACACACACACACATACATACACCCCATACCCTCCTTACACCTTCCCTCCCGCGCTAGTCTAAGGCCCACCTTAGCAAAGCGCATCGCAGGTTGCATATATAGCCACACTATCCTACTCAACCATACCACACATAAACATAACACCACCCCCGGGGTTTACGCAGACGAGCCGGCGAAACAAGAAGAACGCCAGAAGAAAGGGGCCTAACAGGCGCGCGGCGGGGCCCAGCCAGGACAAAAGGAGGTCCCACAAAGCGCCTACACCGGCCGCATTTGCGGTCGGGGTAGACGACGGATGGGGCCCACCTACGAAGGCTGTCCAGGCCTACACGAGATGAGGCAGGATAAAGAGGGATAATCCCCCTCGATCCCAAATCAGTGAGGCCAATTTGTAGCCATGGAATAATGGCGCGGTCTGTACAATTTCAACTATGACAATTTGTTGCGGGTTGCCTAAATAAGTGACGTCACACTAAAAGAGTCTATTTACTTCAGTATTGAATCTCCAAACGCTGGGTGGTAGAGACAACAATCACC